AAAGTTGAGGGATATTATTATTGTTGTTTGTATTATATTAAGGAGGGGAGCGCTAAACCTATAGGTATTATATAACACCTGAAAAATAAGGAAGAGGAAAGCAGGGCCAGTTTCCTAGATCAAGAGTCCCTCACCGGCTTCAAGGAATCTCCTTCGAGGGGAAACTCGAGGATAAATTCCTAATAGGGAGGGATACAGTCTTTAATAGAAGGAATATAATCCTTATCTTAATGACAAGGGATACAGGAGGGATATAATACTCATCCTAAAGAGAGAAAAATCTTAAGTGGGAGACAGTGTTAAAAATACATATATACAATATTGACCGAAGTATGATGTAGTCATACATCATACTTCGAGTACTTATAAAACCTCATGTAGACGAAAAGTACTAATAAGTATCCTTTTGCTCTATTCTTTAACTACAATACTAATCTGAAGGAGAGGGAGGGGATACAGTAGTGTGTTTCTCAAGCATTCCTGGGACAGCAAACCTGGTACCTGACCACAGCCACCTCCTCGTTCCGGGGCAAGACTTGTATAGCCTGGGGCAACTCCATCATTGTCTGGCTATATATGAAGTGTGTATTTACACACAAATAAGGCCATTATCTCGAGCAAGTCATTACAATAATCATTGCCTTAGCCTAGTGAGACAGAGACTAAAAACAACGTTAAGTGTCACTCAAGGAAAAAGATAACTCGCCCAGTTCACTGTTAAGCGGAAATACATACCAAACCTGTTACCTCAACCAGAGAAAAACTAAATTTAAAATTTAATGCTCCATCATTCGTTTTATTTTATTATAATATGAAGTTACAATGAATGCATATTTTTTTAATTAATAATGAGATATTTCCCTGTTAACCTTGGTGAGGTTCATGTGTGGTGAAACAATTGTGATCAGCATCGTATACACTTCAGTGAATGTTATTTTATGTTCCTTAATATCACCAACAAATTTTTATTGTAACAATTATGTTTTAATACTTGTCCTCAGCGTACCCGGGTATAAGGGATGAATTATTATTATAATCAAGGGGGAAGCGCTAAACCCGGAGGATTATACAGCACCTGGGGGGGGGATGTGGAAGGCATTCAGGCTTAATTCGGGGAACTGGAGCACAGATCCAATTCCCTAAATCAAGAGCCCTCACCAACATCAAGGAACCTTCCTTGAGGGGTATAAGTGATGAAGACTACAGAAGTATACCTCTTTAGGGTTAATGAAATCTTTAAATGTTAATTAACCACTTAATTATTTGGTGTATGATCCTTATTTATATATATTTTAGTTATGCATTTGTTTTTTTCTGTATTGTTTATATATTAATATTGCTGAAGTAATCAGTCTTCTAGATATGAGTAATTGTTTACACAGGCATTGTCAAGTTATTTTAGGAAGAGTCAGCAATGATAACGGAGTCACAGTTAGGCGAAGCCAACAGTGATAAATATGTCAAGTTATCTTAGGAGAACATCGATCAACAGTGATAATGGCTTCAAGTTATCTTAGGGAAAGGGAGCCATCAGTGACAAATGAGGAAGCATTAACGTCAGGGAAGGTCTAGGTGTATTATTTGTCAGGAGACAGTGAGAGTGTGGTGAGCTGCTACATGGAGCTTCCGAGAAGCCTTTACCTGGGGCATCTGTCCACCCTGTACAATGTTATACCCGAATCACAGAATGGGTGGGGATCGAACCCAAGCCAGACAAGTCCTAAGACTTGTCTGGCATTCCTCCCCTAAGACTCGCAGGCCAGTGTGCTTAATCGCTGGGACATGGACCAGTGGTTAATACAGTGCAAAAGAGTTCTGACTACAACAGCCAGCTAAGTACAGAAGCTAGATTAGAATAAAGCAAAGCAGCTATATACAGAAGCTGTAATAAAACAAAATGGGTAAACACAAAGACTAAACAATGTATTACGATAGTAATTTAAATATAACACGAAATCCCATCACATCAACACGCTAAAAAATATACAGACATCGCCAAGACTTGTTTACAGGAAACTCCAGAAGTTTTTTTTTTTTTTAATCAACAGTCAACAGGGGTGTGGCGTTCCTGGAAATGTGGAGCTGCTCCTGCTGCTATTACTGCAACTGTATCTCATGTTGCTCTTGCTGTTTGTCCTCTTGCTTCTGCTGTTTATCTTGCTCCAATTGCTACTAATGCTACTGCATCTGTAACTGCTACTTGTGCTGCACCTGCTGCTACTGCTGCATCTGTGACTGCTGCTTGTGGTGCACCTGTTGCTACTGCTACTTGTGCTGCATCTGTAACTGCTGCTTGTGTTGCACCTGCTGCTACTGCTGCATCTGTGACTGCTGCTTGTGGTGCACCTGTTGCTACTGCTACTTGTGCTGCATCTGTAACTGCTGCTTGTGCTGCACCTGCTGCTACTGCTGCATCTGTGACTGCTGCTTGTGGTGCACCTGTTGCCACTGCTGCTTGTGCTGCATCTGTAACTGCTGCTTGTGCTGCACCTGCTGCTACTGCTGCATCTGTGACTGCTGCTTGTGGTGCACCTGTTGCTACTGCTACTTGTGCTGCATCTGTAACTGCTGCTTGTGCTGCACCTGCTGCTACTGCTGCACCTGCTGCTACTGCTGCATCTGTGACTGCTGCTTGTGGTGCACCTGTTGCTACTGCTGCTTGTGCTGTATCTGTAACCGCTGCTTGTGCTGCACCTGCTGCTACTGCTGCATCTGTGACTGCTGCTTGTGGTGCACCTGTTGCTACTGCTGCTTGTGCTGCATCTGTAACTGCTGCTTGTGCTGCACCTGCTGCTACTGCTGCAATTTGGACGCTGCAGTGGTGCACCTGTTGCTACGCTGCTTGTGCGCATCTGTAACCTGCTGTGCTGCAAACTGCTGCTAGCTGCATCTGACTGCTGCTTGTGGTGCACCAGTGCTACTGCTGCTGGTGCTGCATCTGTAACTGCTGCTTGTGCTGCACCTGCTGCTACTGCTGCATCTGTGACTGCTGCTTGTGGTGCACCTGTTGCTACTGCTTTTCATACTGTTTATACGGAAATTTCACCTGCTGCTGCTGCTGCTGCTGCTGCTGCTGCTGCTGCTGCTGCTGCTGTTGCTCCTGCTGCTGCTGCTGCTGCTGCTGCTGCTGCTGCTGCTGTTGCTCCTGCTGCTGCTGCTGCTGCTGCTGCTGCTGCTGCTGCTGCTGCTGCTGCTGCTGCTGCTGCTGCTGCTGCTGCTGCTGCTGCTGCTGCTGCGACAGGACATAATTTCCGGCGGAGCGGGAGGACATACGTTTAGAGGAAAGTGCTAAATTCGTAGGGTTCATACAGAGCCTTGGAAAATGGTAAGCAAACAGGCTCAGTCTAAAGGAGGACAGGTTTAATTCTTTGCTTAAGAGCCCCTCCCGGAGAGAGGGGTAGGTGGGGAGAGATGCATGATTAGAGAGATAAAGGGAGCAATGAAGCTAAAGCCAATTCACGGAGTGTATGACAGAGAGGTGGAGGGGGAAAGAAAGCAA